CACTCCCGGCCACCACAGCCTCGACCTGCTGGGCCCCGGCGATCCTTCCGCCTCAGCCTTGCAAGTCTCTGGAACTACATTCGCGTGCTACCACATCCGGCTAATTTTTTTGATTTATTGTAGAGATAAGTTCTCACCAAGTTGCCCAGGTGGGTCTCGAACCCACGGGCTTAGGCAATCCACTCACCTCAGCCAACCAAGGCGCGTGATTGTAGGCTGAGCCACTGAGCCCGGCATGAGTGTGCTCTTTAAGTAAACAAATATGTGACATCAATTAGATAAGGCATACATCGAGTGACTAGAACACAGAAAGTGATCATTTCTTTCCTTTTAGCAATTACCTTGGTTATAAAATCTCCAAAGAAGCAACACTAACTTTAAATTAAAAACAACACTTATAAAATCTAAAGATATTAATTGAGACATTTATTCCAAAAAATGTTCTTTCTGATTGTTATGCTCTTGTTTCTATCTTTGCAATATCTTGATTTGCAACAAACAAGGAAAACAAGAGAATCTTCCTCCTCCTGACCCCCAAAATAGCCAGCATGGGTAGAAATTGAAAGTATTTGAATAAGAGAGGCTGTACAGAAAGCCTCAGCTGGGTGGCAGGAAACAGAGTGAAAGTCAGAGACTGTTCTTTTTTAAAAAGGCAAAACAACTCACAGTGAGGTGTACATGAAAATCATTTCTAATAATAGCTCATGGTAGGCACTTCCAGAAAAAAAATCATTGGTGTACTGAGAAAATTAGAGTAAGAATGCACAGTGTCTTGATGTGTTACTTAAGGCAATGGAGCTTTAGAGTTTACCTTATGTGCCATGTACATTGATTAAATACAAAATATATGCTGGCCATTTTTGACCATCATTTACTGTATTGATTTGTTAGCAGGGGAACTGTAATAAAAAAGCCATTGATTTACTGTCCTTATTTGCTTATGGGCTTTTTTATTATTAATTTTTCACTTTTTCTTTCTCTTTTTTGGATCATTTCTTGTAGACAAATGCAGTGCTTCATGAAGTTAAAAGAGAGGGGCTCCCCATGGAACAAAGGAATGAAATCCTGACTGCCATCCTTGCCTTGCTCACCACACGCCAGAACCTGAGGAGGGAATGGCATGCCAGGTTAGTTTTGTTACCAAATGGAACTTCTTGTGCCTGACAAACAAAAGCTAGATTTGGTTAAGCCCTTCCTTCTGGCTGGTCTCATCCCTCCGCTTTGGAAGGCCATGAAAAATAAGCAAGTTTAAGATGCTTTTAGCTAAAGTTAGCTTTCCTGCTCATGGTGCCTACATTAATTGTGATGATCCATGATGTCATCTCTATGTTTATATGATTTATGCCTGAGTATATCATTTAGCATAAATGTTTGCATCTTAAGCATAATGTTGTATAAGTACTTGATACTGAAGAACCCTTTTTAATCAACAGACTAAAAGACTAGCATTACTATTTAGTTAGGGTCAGTGTCTGGGAAATCTATAGTGCTCTTATGTCACTTGATGAGGGGCAGATTATTTGAAAGTAGAGTCATGCATCACTTAATGATGGGATAGGTTCTGAGAAATGTGTTCTTAGGCAAGTGTGAACATTATAGAATGTACTTGCTCAAACCTAGATGGTACAGCCAACCACACACCTAGACTATATGATATGGCCTATTCCTCCTAGGCTATAAACCTGTGCAGCATGTTACTGTACTGAATACTGTAAGCAATTGTAACACAATGGTATTTGTGTCTCTAAACGTATCTAAATATGGAAATGGCACTGTAAAAATATGGCATTAAATTTTATGGTATAGGACCACTGTTTTATATGCAGTCCACTATTGATTGAAACTTTGAAATGTTGTGCAGTACATGACTATAGTATATTTATCAACCCCATTTTTAGGATTGACCAAGTAGGAATTACTTTTGTTTCAATCTAGTCTTTTGGCATGGAGTTACCAGTGGTTAGAAAGCTGTTACTGGTGGAGAGTTTCTATAAATCATCAGTTTTTACAGAATTGATGCTTGCATAGTAAATATCATGTTGTCCTGTTCTTTTTTTGCAAATTAATTGATATGTGGAAGGTTGGAGCTAGTTCTCCCAAATGTTACAGTTATCCTTTAGATTTGTAGTTTGTAAAAATTGTTGAATTATCATCTGTCTCTAAGCAAAGAGGGAGAGAAATTGGGAAGAATATGCTGTATTTTACCTCAGAGCCTTTTTTTTTTTTTTTTGAGTCGGAGTTTCACTCTGTTGCCCAGGCTGGAATGCAGTAGCATGCTCATGGCCACCCAGCTTCAACTTGCTGGGCTCCGGCGATCCTTCTGCCTCAGCCTTCCAAGTAGCCGAAATTACAGGCATGCGCTACCGTGCCCAGCTAATTTTTTATTTATTGTAGAGATGAGGTCTTGGCAAGTTGCCCAGACTGGTCTCGAACCCACGGGCTTAGGCAATCCGCTTGCCTCAGCCTCCCAAAAGTGCTGGGATTATAGGCTGAGCCACCGAGCCCAGCTGCCTCAGAGTCCTATTTGATGCTTAAAAAAATTCTACATGCCTGGGAGTCAAGAACATTTATGGATAGTCATAATATTCTCCAAATGACTTCATGCAACTGAATTGACTATAATTGATATCTTTACTAGCAATAATTCTCTTTTAAAAAATAGATTTGTCCGAGCAAGGCTAAGGATGAGCATTTTCCAAGAAAGAAGAGGTAGGAACTATTAATTCTCATTGGCTATTGGAAAGCTGCTTTTTCAAATATGTGTATCATCTCTAAATTCAGACTTGTATTTAAACAATAATTTTAAAATTTCCAGTGATATTTACCCCTCTTTTTTTTGGTAATGTGATCAGAGTAAATGGCAGAGAGTTTTAACTACAGTAATGACTAAATGATACCCAATTTAATGTTCAGTAATTAATTTGAAAACTGTCTTTATATTAGAATTAAGTGTGTATATTCATTAAAGTATGTCTATTTCGTTAAATAATGGAATATTAATGTGGGGACATCTAAGAGGTTTCCTCCTCTCTGTTTGATGTTTTATATCTTCCCCATAATGATTATTATGAAACAGGAAAGGGAGCAAGAAAGAATTCCCCCGTAATCTCTCTCCCACCACCTCTCCTTTCAAAGGCAGCATGGCCCAGAGAGTGCACAAATGTTGAGAATGGATGTCTTTTGTTGAGTACATTCAGTTTGTTAACAATAATTTCCTAATACACCAAATCATCAGACAACAGGGCCAAAATGGCCTGTTTAAAAGGAGTCTGGTTTCAGTATTTCTGGCCCTTACTGCTAACAATTTAATCAGGAGCTGGAGCCAGTGTTGAAGTTGATGTAGTCTAGCAACTGAAACAAAAATGCTCAAGTCCTTTGTGTTAGGGGAGAAGGAAAGAGAGAGCTTAGCAGCTGACACTATGCAGACCCCCTTAAACCTAAACACCTGAAAGAAAATTTCAAGAGGCTGGTGTCTTGAGAGCTCAGAAGGAAGAGTGTCCTCAGAGTATTAAATAACCATAATCCTTCTATCCACCCCCATTTGATGTTTCCCATCCTGGTGACCTATCTAAAAGACTCATCCATATGATCCGTATAAACAGACGGTTACCATACACCTTTCTTTTCCTCATCAAAGCGTTATCTAGCCGTCTGGAATCAGGCATTGCCTCGAGTAGCCATCAAGCGTGTGGTGGTGAAAGTTATAAAACATCTACCGCAATGCTTACTAAGCTGCCTGTGTTGTAGAGATTGGCCTGTTGTGCACTTTGGAATTACACAAGGAAAAATGTGCTTTGACAGAAAATAATTAGGACTCATCAAAGGCCAAGCGATGGGTTACAGTATTTTAACTTTCATCAAAGCTATCAGGGGATCAGTTAGATTAGATAATAGAAATTTTTTCCTCTGAAAGTTAAATACAGATGACTCTAATTACCTTATATTGCACATTAGAGAATGCATTATGAATTATACAAACTTCAAGAAATTTAGGTCAACTGAGATTCTGCAGCTGGCATTCACTTTAGTATAAGTCTGTTGTAATAAAGGTTTTTACCCCCCTCTTCAGCAGGTTCATTTGTGATTATATAGGGAGAATATTTTCAGTGAAACTTGTAACTCCTTTATAAAATATTTGTATCTCTCTCAGGTCAGGAGCCAAGCCATTGTTTGGGGCTCACTGAAGTCTCTTAAACTGGAAGCATATGTTCTTTGTGATGTAGCTTTTTGAGGCAAGTGTCAATTCTGCATAACTTAAGTAACAGAGTTTGTCACAGTGTCACACAACCCAGCGATTCTAGAGGCACATCTGAGTGCTGTGGGTTTCCTTCCCCAAGCTCAGTAATCCCATAAACAACCCTCTCCAAATAGGCTTATTAGGCCTGTCTATTCACTTCCCCAGAGTTGAATGATCCAAAGTACATCAGGAGAAGCTGTGTGAATGCAGGGTAAGTGTTAACAGAAGTGGTACAGAATTTCTGAAGATTTGGCTTTGTTTATACAGTCCACTCTGCCTGATGGACAGCTTGTTATAGCTTTTAAAGAACTGGGCAAACCCTCTGATCTGACCCCTTCTTGACCTCCACAGCCCAAAGGTCAGTCTGCAGCTAATAAACTCAGAGGTTCTTAGGGTCTACTGTAGGAAAAGGCAGAAAAAGAGCAGCTGCAAGGACTGGGTGTCTCAGGATAGGCTGCTTTCGGGTCACTCTCTGATAATGAAAATGATTACCAAATTATATGGAAGTTTAACCGCAATAGTGAGTGAGAGGAGGGTGGAGCCCAGCGTATTAGGTTTGATAAATGAACTGTGAAGAGGCCCATCTGGCTCTCAACATCTTTTCTCCCCCTCTTTCCCTACCAAGGGGAAACATTTTAAAATAACAGCAGTACATATAGACTCAATGACCCATGCAAGGAACTGGAATGGATTAAGATTTAATGGTGACAGTGGAAGAAATTATCATTTGAAAAGTGCACCAAAGAAAAGGTACAGTTCAATGTCCATACCCAAGTTGTTTTTCTAAATAAAGTGTAATAAAAATCAGTGCCATATTTATTTTATACAATTCCCTGGTGTCTTTCCTAGATTGCTGAAAATTTTGAGGGTTGTTTATTGTGGAACCATTATTCATATAGTCAGCTTCAAGAATGGAATGGGCTTTCTTTGCCTTGAACATGTTAGAATGAGAATCAAACATTTTGTTCTGCCTGCTTGCTCAGTTTCAATAATGTAGGTAAAGCAAGTATAAGAGACGATGCTTTACAAGAAAGTTGACAACCATTTCAGCGTCTGACCACTGATGATTATCCATTTTTTATACTGAATATATGTGTGATACTTGAACAGTATTTTATTTCTACTACAACCTGGCAGTTTTTCTGTAAAAATAAGAAGAAAGCACATTATGTTAAATGAATAGTGTTTGTTTGCTCCTTGTTCAAAGAAACATGATGGGGGTACTAATTAGTGCCAGCAATGGCTAGGTCACTATAAGCTGTATGTCCACTTACTATTAATTGATAAGGGAAATCTATTTAAAGCTCTCGCCTAGTTTCTCATGAACATGGAATGTCCTGATTTCAGACCAGTGACAATGGAGGCCACGAAGCTCTGTACTTTACAGCAGAGACGATTGGCTTGTGCCATGATTCTACTTTCTGAAATGAGGGTATTTTTATTCAGTAAGCATCTTCCTGTATATTTTGTTTACCTACTACATACAAAATTCTGCATGAGAGGCTGTGCATAACATAGAGTGTGCTAAGCAGCCAATGTTAGGGTTTATCTAGGGTAAGAATGCAGAAAGTTCCTAGAAAGAGGCTGTGGAAGGCAGTGAAAAGGGAAGCGGTGGAGCCATTGTTACCACAACCGAGTGGGAAGTTGCTCTAACCTACTCAGGAAAGTAATTGTAGACATCTTGGAAGACTAGAATTGTGTGGTATTGAAAACTACTTATGTTGACCTACATTGTCCACATGATACAAACCTCACCAAGACAGTAATTACACTAAAGATATAAATAAAAAGATTCTAAGTGTTAACCAAAGGTAGCATTTTTTTAAAATCTTAGGTTTTGACATGACTACATATGCCTGTGGAGATTTAGAGTGAGCAGAAAGCAAAAATGTAATACAGGAAAATGAGGACACTTTGAGAATTAACTACGCTTCTCA